GTTTCTGTTCCTCTAGTTCAGGGGTTTTTATGCCAGAGTTCATGAGTGAATATCAGAAAATTCTAGGGAACTCCCCTGACATAGCGGGAACAGTGCTGTGTACATTTGGGAGGCTGAAGAGTAAGCCAGGGCTTGCTACACCCCTCAAAGGTGGTGGCCCTCAGGCCAACACAGTCACTGGTTTGGGCTGGGCTGGAGGTGTAGGTCATCCCCAGCACCACCAAACAGAAAACAAAACAAAAGGAAAACGCTCTTTGCTTTGGGATAGATCAGAAACCAGTAAACCTGAGAGGTGTGGTGGCTCAGGCAGGTGATCCCAGCTACTCCAGACGCTGAAGCAGGAGGATCAAAAAGTTTGAGCCCTGCCTGGGCCAGCTGGCAAGGCCCTGTCTCTAAAGAAAATAAGAAGGGCTGGGGAAGTAGCTTAGTGTGAAGGCTCAATCCCTGGGTAATGAGAAAGACAGAGAGACAGAGACAGAGAGAAAGAAAAGAGAAAGAAAAAGAAGGAAAGAAGGAAAGAAAGAAAGAAAGAAAGAAAGAAAGAAAGAAAGAAAGAAAGAAAAAGAAAGACAGAAAGAAGGAAAGAAAGAAAAACAGAGATGATGGGGGATATAGCTCACTGGCACAAGTGCCTGCCTGGCAAGCACAAGGTCCTGAGTTCAATTCCTGGTACCGTAAAGAAGAAAGAAAGTAATGGTAAAGAAGACAGAAAGAAAATATTATGTGTCAATTAAAAATTAAGAACACATTGAAAAAACAAATCACAACAGAAGAATGACCCTCGGCTCCCACCTTCCCTCTTAGGAGCAGACACTTTTGAGCCAGCCTAGACCCAAGGCCTCTCCTGTGACCCTAGCTGAAAGGGCAGGCTCCCTCTGGCATCAGGTATTCAGTAGGGACTCAGCTCCATTTCTTTCCCTTCTACCCTTACTGAGCAGTTTCCCAAAGAACTCTTCCAGTAAGCCTCGGAATCCCTGCATCTAAACTAATTTTCAGCTTTCCAAAGTGTCCTTCTGATCATTCCTAACTTGCTTCTCAGGAATGTACATGTGTGCAAATGAACAGTCTAGAGGAGGTGAGGCCAGGTCAAGGTCTAGGGGTCAGCGAGACCAGCATTGGCTCCTGACCCTCTGCCAGCTGCCACACCCACCCCCTTCCAGCTCACTCTGCAGCCAGAGCCAGTCTTTAAAAACCCAACTCCACTGCTTGCTTCTGCAGCACATGCACTAAAAACCCAATTCCCATCTTGCCACCCCCAGGCTGTTCCTGGAATAACATCCTGACCCGTTACCAGGCCCCCACGGTCTCTGCCCACTCCTGACTCTCAGCTCCAGCTGCTTCCCACTCTCTTACCCAGGCCCCAGATGTCTTCTTGGGCTTTCACTCAGTTCCTCAGATACCCCAAGTTGCCCCTTCCCCTAAGACCTTTGCAGCTGTTGCTCCTGTTTGGAACATTCTTATCTCATTTCTGCTCCTTCTAGGACAGCACCTGCTTCAGGTCTCAGCTAAAGGCCACCTCCTCCAATGTCCCAGTCACCCCAAGTAGCCCCCTAAATTCTCCATGACAGCAGCCTGCTTATTTTCCTTTATGGTATTTATTGCAATCGGTTAGTTTTTATTGTTGTTTTGAATGTCTTTATGGTCTACCTCCCTCCTCGTTCCTCAGAATTGCAAGCTTTACCAGGGTAGGGATCCTGTCTGGTCTGTCCAATAGAATCCCCATGATCTAGCACAGAATAGGTTCTCAAAAAACAGTTGTTAAATGAGAGTGGAATGTGTGTGTGTGTGTGTGTGTGTGTGTGTGTGTGTGTGAGAGAGAGAGAGAGAGAGAGAGAGAGAGACGCTTTTAAATTCCAGTGAATTCTAACTTTGTAAAGCCTAAGAACAAAGGAAATGTATTCAAGGGACACAGGCCCTGGGCTGGGCAGGGTACAGGATCCGGAAAGAATCTTAATTTTTGAAACTTCTACCTCACTGGGTGGAGGAGGTCCCATTATCACCCTCCCCTAGAAAGGACTCTGAAGCTGCCTCATTCTTTCTGAGTTCTAGCTGGGATTTTTCTAAACCAGGACACTCGGTTACAGAAACAGGTATCAGTCACCAGGGGAAAAAGCCCTTGAAAGGCATCTCCCCTGAGCATCGAGGTGGCGTGAAGTGTCTCCAGTCCTTTGCCATCCATTCCCTCATCTTAGCCTCTTAGCTGGTCCTCAGCAGCAGGTGTTATTGGTCCTTTTTATAGAAAATGAAACTGGGTCTCAGGGACGTGACTTGCCTGTGTGGTAATGACTCCTCTTCCTTCCCTCTCGCTTCAGAGATCGCCCTTTCTGGGAAGAGCCCCTAAGCACCCTCCCCAGACTCACGTTCACTTCCCTGCTCTGCCCAAGTGCCGCAACCACCCAGCCCTCCACCCACGCTCACACAGCCCTCCAGACAGGAGAGTCCTGAGGGCAGAGCGGAGCGCACCAGGTGTCTGAGCAGAGGTGGGGGCTGGGCGCCCCCCTTCCATGTCCACCCACTGCAGTCGTCTGTGGCTGGAGGATGCAGGAAGCTCACTCTGCTCCCAATGACGGGAATCAGTGAGCTGTTTCTCAACACACAGAGGAGGCCCCCTCCCAAGGTGTCTGCCTGGGGCTGCCCCAGGCTCGGGAAAGGCTCGGCTGGCCCGAAGTGGGAAGTGCCAGGGTCCCCGTGGGTGAGGGACGTCACAACAACAATAGCAGCTCTGCCCAAGGCCTTCTACACATGGGACCCCCACACCTACCTAGGCCAGGCCTCGGCAGTATTTCCATTGGACAGGGAGGGGGGTAGGGAAGGGGGCCAGAACAGACCCGACACCTACTGTGTGCCACCTGACCAGATGTGTCCCTCCTTCCTTGGCAGTGCCTCACCTCTCTCTCTGGTAGAGTCCTCCTTACGAGTAGATGACTGAGGGATGGGTGGAGGCAGCACTTGCTCCTCTTGTCTCCTGCCGGATGTGACTCTCACCCTCCTGCCTCTAAACCCCACCAATACTGACTTCACCATGCTGCCGCCAGAGCCCAGGCCACACGGCTAGGCCTCGAACCCGGGGCCTGGACTCAGGTCCCAAGCTCTTTGTGGGAAGTAGCTGCTTCTCTGGTGGGTCCCTCACGGAGTCCGGTGGCTTGGGAAGGCCAACGTGCTGGGTGGCACCACTGTCCCTGATTGCTTCCTTTGCAGTTGTGGGAGCCATACTCGGGCAGCGAGCTTTGGGAAAGGAGAAGCGGTGCTTTGTGGGAGCCTCCACCTTTGGAGGAAATCTGAGTTGAACCTGGACCAAGAACGGAGAAGCAGGAACCACAGCTTCCCACAGAATGCCTGTGTGCACAGGGAAAGTGAAGACGAGGGCGTGGCGATCACTCTGGAAACCTCACCCTGCCAAAACTGAGGCTGGGGTGAACGGAAATGAGAAATGCAAACGCTCGTGTGTTTCCGACGACCAAGACGTCGTGGTTTGGTGGCACCTGGGCATGTCCCACCTGCTGCAACAGTCTTGCCGCTCAGAAGACTCTTGTGATTGGGTTGCCAAAGGCAAGGGATCTTCAGGGAATTCTGGAGCTTGTCAGACTCAGGAGTGTCATTCTCAACAGCCACACCCTCCAAGCTGTTCTCACGCTGCACCTCTGCAGGCCGCTGGCCTCATGGCCAAGGGCCCATTAGCTCCCGCTCCCGCTCCTGCTGTCCGAGACGTCCTTCCACAACTCCGATACACACTCGTGAGACCTGTCAGCTGGGTGCTTATAGTCAACAGTTACAATGATACAGCAGCTGTTGGTTCCCACTATGCCACTTCCCAGCTTGTGACTTTCGGCAAGTGACTCAGTCTCTCTGCGCCTCAGTGTCTCATCTGTAAAATGGGAATTACTTAAAGTACCAGCTCCCTTGCAGAACTGTTGTGATACTTACATGAGTTATTATAGAATAGTGCTGGGCCCACAGCACGTGCCCACTGAGTGCCAGCTGTTACTGTGTGTGTTGTTAGTTACAAAACACAAGCCTTCAGCTGATCCCCACCACTTCAAGAAAAAGTCCAAGCTCCTTGACTTGGCATTCAAGGACTCCCCAAGTGGCTAGAACCTGCCTGTCTCAGCTCATCCTCCATATAATCTCACGTGCATGGCCACACCTTGACCCTGACAAATCCTTGGTATCAAACACTCCACAGCTCACCTAGTGCTGGATGTTTGTCAGCCCTGAATAAGAGTAGGTCCCGACCTTTCCTCCTTCCCTCCTTCCTC